GGTAGCCACTACAGAGACATCCACTCCCTCTGGCTGTCCTTTGCTTATCTTACCTAATAAAGACAAACATGTAAATTGACCATACCTCTGTTATGCTCACAGCCAATTAGAGTGACTATGCAAATTAACCCAACACAGATAGTGGGTTAATTTGCATATGCAGGCACAGAGCAGCTGGGAGGGGCGGACACCTGCTATGAGGGGAGAGAGGTAGAAGAGGGAGCTACAGGAGCAGTGCTCTGGACAGAAGCGAGGACTTGCTGGCTCCCAGGCGGCTGGGAGTGAAGCCCGGAGAAGGAAAGCCTGTTCTTGCACGAATATCATGCAAGGGGCTTCTAGTAACCTTTAATAATAAACTGGCAATCGAGTAGGTAAAATGTTTTCCTGAGTTCTGTAAACTGCTCTAGCAAATTCACTGAACCTGGGGAGGGAGTGCAATCTAAAGCTGGTAGGTCAGAAGCACAGATAACAGCCTGAACTTGTGATTGGCATCTGAAGTCGGGGCAGTCTTGTGGGACTGAACCCGTAACCTGGGGGATCTTGATGCTGTCTCTGGGTAAATAGTGTCAGAATTAAGTTGTAGAACAGCCAGCTGGTGTTGCAAATTGCTTGGTGGTATGGGAAAAACTACACATACACTTGGTGGTCAGGAGAGTCCTAAGTGAAGAGTTGTACTACGATTGTGTGTGATGAAAAGAAAAAAGGTTTTCTTTTACGTCCATGTAGTGTATTTTTTCATTTCAGATATCATATTTTTAATCTCTCAACTTTCAACTTGTGTTTTTTGTAACTTCCTTGTCTCTTCTAAACTTTTTAGATGCGTTGAATATAATTATAATAACTATTGTAATGTTTTTCCCTGTTCATTCTAACATCTATGTTAGTCTGGGCCAGCTTTGATTAAATGATAAGTCTCATTATGGGTCATGTGTTCCTGCCTTTTTGTGTCTTTGATTGGACGCTAGAAATTATGAATTTTACCTTGCTGGGTGTTGGACATTTTTCATATTCCTATAAGTTTTCTTTAGCTTTTTTTTTTCTTGGGAGAAAATTCAGTTACTTGGAGACAGCTTGATCTTTTCAGGTCTTGCTTCACGTTTGTGAGGTATTTCTTGGAGCAGAGCTCAGTCTAGGGCTAACTATTCCATACCATGGAGGGACGACCCACCTGAATACCTGACCCAGTGCTCCATGGATTGTGATTCTTTCCAATTTGGCTGGTGGGAGCAGGCATTGTTCCTGGCACTCACTGCTTCTTCTGATTTTCAGATGTGGTTCATTTCTTGGTCTCCCTGCATGCCTGGGTCAGTATTCCATTGAATATGTAAGGGGCTTTGTCTCTTGCAGCTACCCTGTTTCCCTGAAAATAAGACAGTGTCTTATATTAATTTTTGCTCCCAAAGATGTGCTAGGTCTTATTTTCAGGGGATGTCTTATTTTTCCATGAAGAAGAATACAGTACACATTTATTATTAAATGAAAATAAAGGAATTTTATTTCCTGTATACGGTACGGTAGTATGGTAGTTGTCAACACAAACCAGACAAACTATGAATCCTACAGTATCAAGAATTTACTCATTTATTTAATGACAATCATGTCATCATCTTCTGGAACATCATCATAACAATCCAATTCCTGAATTTCCTGGTGAATTTCTTGTGACTCCATTTCTTTCAGAATCAGTGGGCCAAATCTCTCATGTTTAGCTTAGGGGGGCCTTATTTTCGGGGGGATGCCTTATATTTCACTCAGAAGGAAACCTGTAAATAGGTCTTATTTTCAGAGTATGTCTTATTTTCGGAGAAACACAGTATCTGCTGTCTAGTGCTCTAGAACCCCAATCCTGTGCTTCAGAGGAAACTATTTTCCAGCCCCAGTGAGTGAATTTTGATTTGTCAGCATCAACTCCAGGAATTCCACCCCATTGGGTCAGGTGTAACCATGTGACATGGATCTGACCAATGAAATGGAAAAAGAAAGGCTGCAGGGAAAGATTTCTTCCTGATAAAGGGAGGAAACACAATTCTGAGAGAAAACCTGGTCCCTGACTTTGTCATCAAGTCATGTGATTTAACCAATCTGAAATTGATCTGACTCCTGTTACTTGAGATGATCAAGTTTTCTTACTATTTTAGTGACTTCTAATTGGATTTTGTTGTAGTTGGTGATATTTCTTATAGCCAGATGCAACAAATAAGCACACCCTAACTGACCAACTCAGCTATTGGACATTTGTTTTTCCTTTCCACTGATTCAACCCACTGCTAAATTTTACTCTTCTTCCTTCTGGTCCCTTTGTCTCATCAAGAATGGAGATTGACCTAAGAGATGAACTTGTACTTAGCCGTACATGCAATGGGGAGAAATAAAAAGCAATTTTAAGATGAAAGAAAGCAATTGCACAGTACATTACTTTGACTAGGACTAGTCACTACTCCTGATTTTTCAGTTGAGAGGACTTGTTTAACACTCTTATGATGGTGGAAGGATGAAAATACAAAAAAAAAAAAAAAAAAAAAAAAAAAAAAAAAAAAAAAAAAAAAAAAAACACAAGGCAAGCCCAGGAGAAATTATATAAACTCTTTCACATTCACAGCCCTGCTGAAATTCTCTGTTAATTCCCATGGGAGCCAAGACTGCCTCTGGAACAATATGACTGTTGGAAACCACTAGTGTCTGGCAGGAAGCCAACTAGAACAGGAGCAAACGAGGTACTTCCCCATTCCTGAGAGTCTGGACCAATCCGTGGGCCAGAGTGCCTGTGGCAATTCCCATTCCCTTCCTGATTCTCCTCCTCTTTGTCCTGCTCCCATCTCTTCCTCTCTGTGCCTCCTCCTTCTTCTCCTTCTCTCTGCCCCATCTCCCAGCCCCACACAACAGTTCACATCCTGTTTGCCTGATGAACCCAGAAGGTACTAAGCCACTTACTTCTCAAGGCTCTTGCATTTTAATAGGGAGCTCTTACACACTCAAAATAATGCTTGTCTATAGTTAGAAATTCAGGGCTCTAGACTGGTAGTGGGGAACATGTCTGTTCTAGAGCACAGCATTTCCAGTTTCATGAAAAGTCAGCTTAGGTGGGGTGAGGCACCAAGGAACAGATCTCCAGGCCTCACTGCCAGCTGGTAGAGGTACAGGATCACAAGGACATTCCTACTACTCCTCTCATACCCTACTGCTTTCTGCCAGCTCACATAGGACATCCTCTTCTCAGACCCCTGCTGTCTGTTTGTCTTATCCCACTCACCTTCAGCCTCAATTTAGATATTCCCTCTTCCAGGAAGCCTTCCCCAATCAAACCCCAAGTCTGGGTCCCTGCCCTCTGCTGTACCTCTATAAGGCTGAATGCCTTCCTCTCCGAGCACTTGTTACGCTGATTTGCAATCCATGGTTGCTCAGTAAACCAATAGCCAGATAGCCCTGACATTCAGCAGGTGCTCAGTTTATTGAATGAGTGAATATTCACATACCCTATCGCTCTGCAGAGACCTTGGCTGTGTAGTTTCCCATTGAACTCTTAGTTTCCAGTCCAGTGTTTAGTCAACCAATGATTATTTGTTAGTTGATCAAAAGAAAGGTAGATGCATCTATGCTGTTGTTAGCAGTGTCCAGACATTCTAAATACGAGAGCAAGAAGCACTGACCAGGAGTCTTTCCTAGACTATCAGGGAAGGAGTGGAATGGGAGGGGCGGGAGGCAGGGGCAGAGCAGGGATAGCAGAACCCTGGAAGTACAGCTGTCAGGGGTGTGGCGAGGGGCTCCTCTTTTAAACCACACTTTTAGTCTTCTAGGGATTCCTAACCTGAGCTCACAAGGGAAGCTTCAGAAGATCCTTAAATCCCTGACAGTTTAATCCAACACCCATGCCAGTATGTGCATGTTTCTAGAAGAGGGCCCATGGCTTTCAGTGAGTCTGCCTCAAAAGGCAGGGATACAAAAAGAACTGTTGCCCTGGGCCTGCACTGTCCAGTATGATAGTCACTAGCCACACGTGGCGATTTACGTTTAGACGTCAAAGCCTCCGCTACACTGCCAGTGGCCACTACCTCCTGGACAGCCCAGGTATAGCTATTCCAGTCGCTGCAGAAAGCCCTGCAGGCTTCTTTACGTTGGCTGCTCTTCTTCAGATTCAGTGCACAGGCAAGATTTGTTTGGATCATGTAGTGAGTTTGCAAAATGAATTGACATCATTTAGAGATGAAAGCATAAGCACCCGAAATCCCGATTTCATTTTGGAAATTGGACTCTGCCAGCTTTGGGTCTGCATTCCTCCTGGTGCTGGAGTGCACGGGCTGCTCCGTTTACGTGGGCCCTCGGTCCTTTGAAATTACCTGCTTGGCCCTCCTGCACACGTGAGTTCGCGACTCTCAGTCCCAAGGATCCCTGCCCACCGTGATTTCTTTCCAGTCTCTTGTGTTTGTGACCAGAATCCCAGTTTGGGTAAGTGGAGCTGAATCTGGTCTAAGAGCACATCTTGGGGGGAGGGGTCTGGGGCTGAAATTGGGGCTCCCAGCTGGGAGTTTGGGACGAGTCCGGGTGCGGCCGTGCCTCCCTCAGTCCTCCGGAACTGGAAGGAGAAAAGGGGAATTTTATTCCGAACATCTGTTGCTTTGACAAAGAACTTCTTCCCGGTCTTCCCGGGAGCCCTCCAGTCTGAGCGCCGCACGCCTGGGCCCGCCCCCAGCGCTGCGATCGCGGGGAGGGGCCGTGGCGAAACCCGAGCCCGCGCCCACCACCCCGGCTGGCGACGTGGCTCAGCGGCTGGACCTCCTCTCCTCTCCCCCCTCCAGCCGGGTGGCTGATGGGCCCGTGAGCGCGCCGCCCGCCCGCAGCTTCCCCGTCCGCGGCCCGGCGCGCCCCTCCGCTCCGGTGCGGGGCGGGAACTGACCAACCGAGGGGCGGCCCGTCCCCTCCCCGCCGGCCTCAGCCCCCCTTCCCGAGTCGCTTCCCTCTTGTCGGCCACCCGGTGCCTCCCCGCGGGCCGATCTCCGCTCCCGATGGCGCGCGGTGGCCGCGGCCCCTGCCTGGCGCTGGCCGCGGGGCTGCTGCTGGCGCTGGCGCTGGCCCCCGGGACGCTGCGGGCCAAGCCCACGGTGCGCAAGGAGCGCGTGGTGCGGCCCGACTCGGAGCTGGGCGAGCGGCCGCCCGAGGACAACCAGAGCTTCCAGTACGACCACGAGGCCTTCCTGGGCAAGGAGGACTCCAAGACCTTCGACCAGCTCACCTCGGAGGAGAGCAAGGAGAGGCTGGGGTGAGCCGGCCGCGGCCCGGGCTGCGTTCGGGGGGCGTTGCAGGTGCTCGCGGGCCTTCCCCCCCCCACCCCCCGGGCGGGAGCCACGCGGAACCCGAGCTGCGAACCGAAAGAGAAATCGGCGCGCGGGTGGGGCTGCTGGCGGCGGGGCTGCTGGCGAAATGTGGCCGCCGGCTCCGGGACCCACGCGTGGAGATCGCCACCCCCTCCGCTCCAAACCCACGGGCCGCGGTGGCTCCCCGCGGGGAGGCGAGAACGTGGCAGCCGCCGCGGGAGCCAGGAAGGCGAGGGCCCGCCCCTCCCCTGGTTGCATCAGAAGGAAGGGGAGAGAGTGTACAAAAGAAGAGTTTGTCCACTGGGGTCTTTTAGTGAAGGAGTTCTTCCCCACCCTCCCAGGTTCTCTACCACCGCTCTCCCCCACCCCCATCCCACTCCCGAAGAGGAGCGCTGGAGATACTGCTAAGCAAGTCTCAAGGATGAGCACAGGAGAGGCTTGAGTCCTGGCTTGTGTCCCAGAACTGGGGCTGAGGTGTTCTTGCCTTCTGCCTCATCTCCCCCTACCCCCGCCCCCACCCCACCCCCACACCTCTGATGTGGGGATATCAAAATCCTGTTGTTAAGAAGGGAGGGGCATTTGGGGATAGAGGATGATGGCTGCGGGATGGAAACTGGTCCCCCTGTTCCCAGCAGATGTCTGCAGAGGCACCCAGTCCTTTGGCAACAGAGGGCAAAAAGTGAGAGGGTGGTGTGGTGGGTTGTACACTTCACTGTTGAAAGCAGTGGAGTCTGGAACCAGACCAGGGAAACAAAACTTTTGTGACATCTCAATGCACCCTCCACAGGTTCCCTTGGGGAGACACTGGGGCATTGTGCAAAGCTATCTGGAATCAATAGCCACGCTGATGGAGGATGGGCTGGGGAGGGTCCCAGTAGCCCTGCCTACTGGGCACCAGGCCTCCTGGAACCTGGTTGGGGGGAGGGGTCTGGGGGTGGAGATCTTCACATCGTGCTAACTGAGAAAGGACACAGCTATCCCTGTGTTGATGGAGGCCACCAAAGGCTAGTGGGATTGGTTGGGATATAAGGCTAAATTATACCTATTGTGTAGGTGCACCATCTGCCTACTCTGATAAAGAGATCTTTGAATTTCAAAGTCACCTTCAGACAATCACCTTTTATTTTGCAGAGAAGTACTCTCTCTTCTTGTTTTCGGACTTAACAATGGGGGCCATTGATGAGCTTAATCCATTGTATTGCTTTGAGGCACTTGAAAACTGAGTGGCCCCCATTTGCATTACTGCCAATGAGGGCGGGAGGGAGGGAGTTAGGGTTTGGCAAAGAGAACTTGGTAGTTTGTAGTCCTACAATTCCAGTTTAATGCCTTCATCCTAAAGAGTACATCTGGTGGTGAGAGCAAGGGCGATGGAGTTGGTCTGCCTTTGACCCTTGTACGCCTTAACTTCATTTGTTTATTCATGCAACAAACAATGTATGGCCGTTGTGTGCCAGCTACCATGTTAGGTACCTGGCAGGTACAGAGAGAAAACCTGAGTGTGCTCTAGGCCTCAAACTTCTTAAAATCAAATGAGACACAAGCAGGTTCTGCTATAATTGCTGCGAAGGCACATAAAAGCTAAGGTGAGCACACCCAGAAGGAGCCCTTAAAGGGTAAGGTTGGAGAGAGAGACTTGGGGCTTTAGGGATGGATCAGTTTGTGGGATGACTCAGAAGTTGCCTGGCACCCCACCAGAGAAAGGCATTTTCTAAAGAGAGAATAATCCACTTCTAAAAGTTTTGAATTGTGTCCCAGACTTTATTTGGCATCTAGAGGATGAGAGCTATTAGGACAATAAAGAGAAGAAGTGGGAAGTGAGAGTGGAGGGGGAACCAAGAACAGAGCAGGAGGGACCTCCGAGATGGAGATTAGATGTTATCCTGTATGTGGTGGAAATATCATCATCCTAATTCTTGTTAGGAAAATCAGACTGGCAATAGGGAGGAGAACATACTGCCCTGTTTCCCCGAAAATAAGACAGTATCTTATATTAATTTTTTCTCCCAAAGTTGCGCTAGATCTTATTTTCAGGGGATGTCTTATCTTTCCATGCGTTAGGTCTTATTTTCGGAAGATGTCTTATTTTCAGGGAAACACGGTAGTAACTAAGGCACGATGGGGAGACCAGTGTAGGGCCATGGCCATGAGCATCTGAACGAGGCACGCTGGTCCAGATGGCAGGAGAGGTGAACCAGAAGCATGTGGGAGGGAGCACTGGCAGTTCTCGCTCTTGACTCAGTGTTGGGGGGTGGAGAGAGAGGGAGCAGGGACTCACAGGTGACATCTGGATCTCTGGCCTGGGCCACTGGATGATAATGGACATGCCACTCAATTGTAAAGTAAATCCAGGTCCTAACTGGGGAGGCAGAGGGTGGGAAATGATGGGTGAGAGTGGTATGGGGTGATTGAGCATGAAAAGCTGCCTGTCTGTACGTAGCTCCTGGTACAACAGCCCCCACCAAGTCTGGACTACCGAGGGAGGAGCATGGCTGAATCTGGGCAACTTTGTCACCACTTCCTGCCCTGATCCTGAAAATGTGCCAGCTCTATGGTCTCTGGAGACACCTAGGCAGGAGGGCTGCAAAGTGGGAACCTGTAGGCTGCCTGCTGTGACAAACAGACGAAATGGAAATCAATTGTCAACTTTTAAAATGGGTGATTTTACATATAGACCTCAATTTCTGGGTTCCCTTTGACTCCCACAGGCCATTATTCCCATATGGCAATCATTGTCTGGAGCAGCTGGGGCACCCTAGTTGGCATTTGGTAGGGGATATCCAGGTTGCCCTAAGCTCAGCCTGGCGGCTTTGTTCATTTCTGTTACCTGCTAGGTATTGGTTGAGTTTTCCATCCACTGTTTATTGTCCTTAGTGGAAAGGCACATTTTCTTTCCTTTATTCCTCACCATTCCTGGTGAAGTAGGTATTCCAATTTGCAGGTGGAAAAACTGAGACTCAGAGAATCAAGACATTTGCCTATCACACAGGGCTAGGTAAGATCCAGGGATTGGCTTTGTCTACATCATAGCTGCCTTTCGCAGTATCTCCTGAGATTTTTTTTAAAGAGAGATTAAGATCATATTTATTTTTTCAAAAAATGTTCATTAAATTCTAGGTGTCAGGCTGACTACGTCCCGGATGTTATTTGGCATCAATTAGATGCTATCTTTTCCACACACACACACACAAAAAGGTTATTCACAATCTGATATTAGGTCTCTGCTGGTCTGAGATTCTGTTCCTCAGCCAGCTTTGGATAACTGATGGACACGTCACCTCTGTGTCCCCAGGGTTGGAGCAGTGCCTGGTACATAGTAGGTAGGTTTAACACTGCAGTGTTGAAAGAATTCTGCTGTGCCTGGCTGTGGTCTCCTGCAAGGAAGCCTGAAGATACCTGAGGCTTTGTCTTTCAATGTGGAGAAGTTACTATTGCAAATGAAAGGACCCGTTAAAGCTGTTAGTAATGCTTATACCTTCTTGAGAAAGGACCTCTAGCTCCCCAGGAAGCAGTTAGGAGATGGAGACTTAAGTACTAATGAATTCATTTCCCATATCTAATTAATCAAAAGAGAAACTGCCAATCAAAACTACTGTTCACAGTAAGAAAATTTTACCAGAGTTGATAGAATTCCAACCTAAAGCAAAGAAACAAATCCCTAATCAACCTGTATGATCTCCTCCCAATAAGAGGACTATCAGGATAACATTTTTTTAAACATTAGGAATAGCTTGTGGGTATCTTTGAAGTTTCCTACAGGAATGGAGTCCCTAGGCTTGGACCCTTTGGCTTAGAGATGGACACTGGTGAATTCTAACCTGAACTTTGCTTTGAACTAGTGTTTGGCGTACCTCAGTGGAGTCCAGTGGAAATTGTTAGAACCTGGACCAGCTGTGGATCAGGAGATTCCAGTGGGCATAGGGGTCTTGAAGAGCAGGAGATTCAGGATCCTAAAGCTGCTTTGCTGCTCAAGTTTCTTGAATAGGTTTCATTGATGTCAAGGCTCTTTCATCCCCCACATTTTATGCTTGTCCAACAAAATCTGGTCTCTTGGCTAACACCGGTGGTCTTGATCCGGCATCTAGAAGTGTTCTGAAATCTGGAGAAGGGGCTGTGCGTAAATTAATAAAGAGTCCAGAGAGGAAACATAATTTTGAAAGGCATATAGGGAGTCAGAGAAGCTTGGCTGAAGAAACCAAGTTCTTGTCTCAGGACCCCTTGCTTTTTATTAACACAAATTGTTCTAAGGCGAGGTGGAGATATATACATCAAAGGGTGGGGTTAGGTACAGAACCCATTGTCAGACTGGGGAAGCCTACAACTGTTCAGGTGTTTGGCCAGTAGGAGGTAATATCATGTAGATTAAGATGTCCTGAGCTGTCTGGCAGCAAGCAATCATTTTATGCATCCCTTTCAGGTTTGGGGAAATGCCTTTCAGCCATCCCAGATGATTCAGCCTTTTGCTGACATGCTGGAATTGGCTTCCAAACTTGGCTTCAAGTGTCAAGTGTTTGGGTACAAAGTGGTGAGTTTAAAAAAAAAAAAAAAAAAAAAAAAAAAAAAAAAAAAAAAAAAACACAAGAACTCAATTATCTGTTGGTTTACATAGAATTTTCCGGTTTTTTTAGATTGGACCTAGAGTCACTTCTTAACCCACTGTACCAAATATCAGCTGTGTGATCTTGGAAAATAATTCACGTTCTCTCAGCCTCAGTTTTCATCAGTCTAACGACTACATCAGGGAAGACTGCTAGGTTTCACCTTACAAATCAACACTAATCGATCGGTCATGCCAATCTGCAGAGCACTGTGTTGAGAAGGATTCTGAGGCCACATCTAGGTTTGTTAGAACAAAGGGCATGACCCACTAGTAGTGTCTGCCAGTGGCACTGGGTCGGGGGAAGGCATGTCATGCTTGGAAGAAATGAACTTGAAGATCCTTTCAAGCACCATCTGATCATTGAGCTTGTGTCTATGCATTTTAGATTCTGTGCAGGTGTTTGATCTTCCTCTGGGGTCAGGATCATGCAAGTCTTGATAATAGCCTTGTTTTTTAACGTCAGGAAGATTGTTGATCGAATTGACAGTGATGGGGACGGCTTTGTCACCACTGAGGAGCTGAAAACCTGGATCAAACGGGTGCAGAAAAGATACATCTATGATAATGTTGCTAAAGTGTGGAAGGATTATGATCGGGACAAAGACGATAAAATTTCCTGGGAAGAATATAAACAAGCCACCTATGGTTACTACCTAGGTAAGAGGTGCTGCAGGAGAGATTACACAGCTGGGGCCCACATAACAAGCTTCTCGCGGAGACTCTCTACTCCCTCATCACATCCACCCCCTTCGGGGGATGTCACAACCTCCTAAGTAGAACCTGCTTACTAAGAATGCTTACTCTGAATGAGACCCTAGGTGGTGAGTAGTGGCAGGCGTCCAGGGTCTAATAAAAAGCCACCCTCCCTGAGCTACGATCTCGAGGGTACACTCAGAACAAAGCGGAGAGGAAGCGTGTCTGCCGTACAGTTCACAGTGCTGCCGGTTTCAGATAGCAAGGGGGCTGGAGCTATCAGGGAAGACTTCTGGTAGAGGGTGGCTTGGGAGCTGGGCCTTGAAGAATGGATTTGTATTTGGAGAGAGAGTGAGGGAGGTGGGTCAGCTGAAAGGGTAAAGGAACAGCGATGCATTTAGCAGTGGGCGGGGTTTGGATATGAGACACACCTGTTTGGGGAATGGTGGAATGGTGTGTGCAAAGCACAGAATGCAGACCCGCTAACTGTGTGGTAGACAGTGAGGGGACAGGTCTGCACATTCACTGACAGATTCAGAGAGATCTTGAGAGCCAGGCAGAGGCATTTAGACAAAATGTGGTACTAGGGAGACTGCTTGTTCTGGAGCAAAGGATGATATGATAAAAGCAGGGTTCAGCAAAGAGAAGTGTGGCTTTAGTATGGCCGGAAGCCTGTGCTCTTACCCATTTCTAGAATGCCCTTAATATGCCCAGTAGAGCTGTATTAGGGGGTGGTTAGACAGGGCAGTTACTGGAGGAATTCTGAAATAAACGGTGTCAGAGAACTCGAAAGGTTGGGATCTATAGTCCCATGTGTAATTCTTCGGGCATGAAGGACCAGCGATCGGTCATGAAGTGCCTCCCCTAGCAGCCCAGTTGAAACATTTGTGTGCATATCCTGCAGGGAACCCTGCAGAGTTTCAGGATTCTTCAGATCATCACACCTTTAAGAAGATGCTACCACGTGACGAGAGAAGGTTCAAAGCTGCAGACCTCAATGGTGACCTGACAGCCACTCGGGAGGAGTTCACCGCCTTTCTGCACCCAGAGGAGTTTGAGCATATGAAAGAAATTGTGCTTTTGGTAAGAGAAAAGAAGTGCCTGGGCTGGGAAAACACCAGAGCAAATGCTACACCAAGATCTTGTCTTTTGTCTTGTCTTCCAAAGAGAGAATGTTCTTCCTCTTGAGGGCACTTGGAGAAGGACCCTGAAGTGGAGTGCATTAGAATACCTGTCCACCCACTAAATGAGTCAGGGCAGGCTAGGTGCTGTAACAAATAGCCCCCAATCATAGCCATTTATCACAATCAAAGCTTATTTCTTGCTTATACCACTTCAGGGCAGATGGTCCCAGGCAGCTAGTTTTTCTGGACAGTTCTCTAAGAGCTCGCAGGCAGCCAGCCTGCTTCCATCTTATACATCACCATCCTGTGGCCTCAAGGTCATCCTGGTAGCTGCCAGCCTGTAGACAAGAGGAAATGAGGAGAAGGTAGTCTACCTAACTGCTCTGATCAGGAAATGACACATCCATTCCTTTTACATTGTTCCGCCTCCTCCTAGATGTGAGGCTGGGAAATAGTTTGCATATGTGCTCAAAAGAGCAGATGAATTTGATAAGGAAACTAGCTAGTCTCTGTCCGTTTTTTCAGCTTTGAGGGAACTAAAAAAAAAGACTCTGAAATGGAATCCATGGGATTGTTAAACCGTACAGAAACATTAAGTGAAAACCACGGCTGGAAAGGATGTGCCCCTGAGCTCAGGTCTTCAAAGGGGGAATAGATCAGATCCTGTAGGCTTTGAGGGTCAGCTGGGCTTGCCAGGCCTCTGAGTGTGGTGGCTTTCCAGTGTTTTGTGGAGTTCCAAAGGTCTTCATTTTCCACAGCAATGATATAATGCTGTCACTTGCTTCCTGGTCAGATAACCCGAGCCAGTTCCGGCTGCCTCGGTGCTGGGAAACAAGTGGCTGAAGCTTTTGTTTATAACCAGCTTGGGGCTATTTTAGTTATGCAGTTGGTGGTTGGGCCCACTCTTGCCTCCTGCTTCATCCTCATGATGTAAGGACTGAGCAGTGGCTCTAAAAATCATTTCTTTTTCATGCGCAACATCTACTTAGTGATAGCTGATTTGCCAGAGGACGATGAAGATGAATTAGCCACAAGCGGATTATGTGCCTTTGAGCTGCTGAGACAGTGGACATTAAGCTCATTTAAATACTTCCCATGGCAAAATGCCTAATTAGAAAGTCAAATATGCTAAATACAGACCATAATACACCCAAAAGTCAGATAGACTTTTATTTCTTAATTGCCCGCTGTTTCATATTTTTCTGACACCACCCCGATGTTTATTGTCCTGTTAGCCCTGGAATCTATCTCTGACCATCTGGTCCAGTGGCTCTCAAGCTGGGTCCTCCCAGGTGCCCCCGGGGATGATTTGGCTGGATGGCGGAAGTGGTTGGGCTGGCATATAACCAGGGCATCTCTGGACTCCCAAGTACATTTTCATTTGAAGAGAGTTCTATGAAAACTGTGGGAGTGGGGAAGTAGGACAGAAACCACTGCCTATTTTTACAAATTAGAAATTAGTGCATGGGAGGTAAGGAGACAAGCCCAAAGTCACCAAGCGTTCAACCATAAAAGCCAGACGAAGGAGGACAGTAGTCATAACTCTAAGATTTACCAAGAGCGCAAAGCCATCTTGCATTCTGTTTTCTGTTTGCTTCCTAGGAAACTCTGGAGGACATCGACAAGAATGGGGATGGGTTCGTGGACCAGGATGAGTATATCGGTGAGTGCAGCCTGGGTCCTGCTCCGCTGTTCCAGCTGGGCAATGTCTCTCCACCCGCGTGTCTGGCTACTTTCTCCACACATCTCTGTTAGCAACCGCTACAAGTCTGTAGGCGTCACCCTTGTGAAGGCCTTGTTACACCATCCCTAATGGTGCAACGTCAGGGAGGAATTAATAGACCTCATTCAGTGGAGAAGAGACCAGAGGCTGGCCCCTACCAAGATGGCCAGCAGGGAGCACAGCTTTCAGAGGTGCTGTTCATCACATTGGGTCGTTTTACCTTTGCAAAATGCAATTGGAGATGCCATAGATTTACAGTGAGTATAGAGCAGACAGTCTCGGCAGAAAGACTGCCATCGGCCTTGGTCAGCAGGGCCTAGAACTCTAAGTAGACATAATTATGATCCAACAGAGCTACTTATGTGCCCAGGCTGTCTGCAGAAGAGCATTCCTTCTTACAGGGAAATCCTTTAGCAAAGTGCATAATTGCTGTTTTGTTTTAGATCCTTTCATTGGGAGGGCCATACTTAGCATTTTGTTCAGAAGGGCTCCACCTGAGCCATGTCAAGAAGGGCATTTCCAGGTAACTGAGCACTGCCTAAATGAGACTCAAGTTAATGTAGCTGGGTCAGAACCCACTGTTGCTGGAACATGGAAGTTTCTGTTTGATCCTCATCAGCTGCTACTTCAGTGCTTCAGCAACATGGCTGCCTTCTCATGATACCTCCTCTTTTCCCAAATCTCAATAAGGTAAAGCTGGTAAATCATTCCAGGGATGGGATCATTGTAATTCTTAAACACTTCTATTGATTAAAAGCAGTTAATTATCTTTAGTGCCCCAGTTGCCATCATTCTTTGGCCTGCTGTTGTGTGACTTGGCCACCCCTTACCCAAGAACAAGTACCTTCAGTAATGAAGGGCAGAATTGCTTCTTAGAAATTGATCCCAGGAACGTAACGCTGTTCTCTGTCAGTCTGTGGTGTAACAGACAGGTAGCTCTCGCCACAGTCCTTAAAGTGATCATGGTGGCACTAATTTTGTAGAATAAGACATGCTGAGAGCCCCTCATCAGTGCAAGAGCAGAGCTTTGCGTCTGCAGCTCTGCACCTTCCCTCAGACGTGCACCAAGCAAGCCTTCCTCTTGCTTGGTGCACGTCTGAGGGAAGGTGCCGAGCTGCAGACGCCTTGACAGTGGGGATGGAGTTAGACTGACAAAAAGCTGCCTGATTAAAACCATGCAGCACTTGTGATTAAGGATGTGTGCTGTTCCCAGCTTTCCTGAACTCCGCATTGAAACAGTACAACATCAGAGGCAAAGCTCCTTTAGTGGCTCTGCCTAAAACCAACATTCCATTCTGTACACTGAACAGAGAGGCAGATGGGGCATTGTGCCTGAAAATCAAATTCTGAGCAATTTATAGTCAGAAAGGCCTGTTGTGTGGACTTGTCCAACAAGTGATTTCTCTTAAGGAGGAAATGAGTGCAAACCCAGTAGTGATGTGTAATGGGAAGAGCACCATGGAATTAGGAGTCCTGGCTTCTTCACTTACTAGTTCTGTGACCCTAGGGAAGTCATGTAATCACTGTAAACCTCAGTTTCCTCGTCTGTAAAATGGGAATACACAGCACCCATGCTTTCAGGACTGGATGGAGCTCAAGGTAGCTAATGTATGTGATAGCTATTTCTCAAAAACACTATGCAGATGTCAGGTGTGATTCTACCTAATAGCAGAACCAAGGGTCTTACCTCTCTTTTACCTTCACCGCCTGCTGCCTGTACCACTTGACATTTCCAAGCTGTGTTTTCATTAAAGAGAAACTGCCCACAGGGTATCTCTTTTTTCTAAGATAATCTAGTGATTTAGCAAACAGTGCATAGACTTTGCCTTTTTCTTCTTTTGCCATTTTATAAAACAGGCATCATGATCTATCATACAGAATTGTTATAAAAATGAAATAAAACGATATACATGAAAACCCTTTGGAAACTATGTAAACTACAATAGGAATGAACATGGTGGATAAGCCTATTTCTATGCAACCTCAAGCTCATATGAGCTGTGGCCTCAGTGTCTCCATCTATAAAATGGAAGTTATAACAAGACCTACTTCATAGGATTGTTGTATACATAAAGTACATTATAAAGTATCTGGACCATAGAAGGTGCTTGATGGTGGTCATGAGTTTTCACCTGGATAGTGCTAGTTTGGGTCTTAGAGGGCTTTCATAATAACCCTGTGATTTGTAATTTATTATCTCTATTTTACAGACAAGGCAATTTAAGATTCAGCCATTGAATTGGGTAACTTAATCCTATTATTGAACTGAGCCATCTTTTATCTCCTGGCCCCAAAGCTCAGCTCTTTCTTTTTGTTCCACCAAGCGACGACTTTCATAATGGATAAATCATTGAAATATTCTAAAAAAAAAAAAAAAAAAAAATGCCCACCAGATGTTTGGGTTAGGTCTCTGGATTGGTCATTGTTCTTCCAAAACCTCTTTTCTTTGATGTACCTTCACACCTGTCTTCCTAACCAAGATCAATCTTCCTTTCCAGCGGATATGTTTTCCCATGAGGAGAATGGCCCTGAACCAGACTGGGTGTTGTCAGAACGGGAGCAGTTTACTGAATTCAGGGATCTGAACAAGGATGGGAAGTTAGACAAAGATGAGATTCGCCACTGGATCCTCCCCCACGACTATGACCACGCCCAGGCTGAGGCCAGACACCTGGTGTATGAGTCGGACAAAAACAGGGTATTTCACCTTCTTCTGGGATCAGTCTCTGAAGGGAGACAGTTTACATAAGATTGGTTCTGTTTACTTCTGTGTGATAGCATTGGCCCGTGCCGCTGTGCCTTATTGACATTTCTCATTCTTGCCCTACGTCAGAGACCTGTAAACTTGACCCAATACCATGATAATCCACAGTGAGTTCATTAGGTCACAATATTCCTGGAGAGTCTGCTATGGGCCACAGACTGACATTCACTCCTATTTCCTGGAATTGCAGAACTTTGTTTGCTGTGGGCAGGGCGTGGATTTAAGAGGCACACCCTGGATTGCCGTAAGACAACTTTATTCATCCATGTATTCAGTCAGATAATTATCCATTTATTATCCATAATTATCCAGATAATTATCCAACATCCATGATGTGTCAGGCACAAGAAAGTCCAGTCCATTCAAACACAAGGCATCCTCAGGCAACCTCACACTGCTAGCTCTGTGCCCAGCACCTCAGTATCTATTGATACATGTCCACATAAATAAGTAAGCAAGATTTAGAAAGACCCGCCTTTTTCCACTTTGATCACTGCTCCAAGCTCTTAGGAGACAATTGTGTGTTGCAGTCAGGCCATGAAAGGCAAGTGGACTTCTTCAGGGCCCTTTTTGGGAATTCCAACACTGCTTGTAGGCACGGTTGGTCGAGCTTCTGAATTCCTCAGGGCCTTACCTGATATATTTTTGCACAGCATTACAGCCGGAGGCTGTTCCAGTTTGAGGTTCCACAGTGCGGCAATGGTAGATGAAAGGGGTACCTAGCAGCTTCTTAATTATTAAGTGTAGGGTTTCAAGTGTTGCAAATCAGTGAATTAACATGGAGCTTCATGCTACTCAGTTACTAGAACTTTGATCACACAGCTCTTTCCTCTCTCCTGCAGGATGAAAAGCTAACAAAAGAGGAGATATTGGAGAACTGGAACATGTTTGTTGGAAGCCAAGCTACCAATTATGGAGAAGACCTCACAAAAAATCATGATGAACTTTGATACACACTCACCATAACATGACAGACGGTCATGGGCTTTCTTTTATTGTCTTGGATGTTGTCTAATTTATAGCAGTTGTGTCCCTGAAACAGTTTATAACCTCAGATTGGGGTTAAAATTGGTTTTCACTCCATATTTACTGGGAAGTAGTCATTTCTATTTCTTCAGTAAGCTGTCTCTACAAACACATTAAAATCTTTGTAAACCACAATATTTTCTTGGGGGGTGGAAGGTGGGATACATTACAAAAACATGACTTTTTAGCTTTTTCTATTAAATTTAAAGGGGAATAAGATTAGAAAAATCCCTGTTACTGAGAAATGGGGTGAATTGGGGGAGTAGTTTATGGAGTGACTGCTATGTATTTTAACTGAAATGTTTATATTTGCCACATTGAAAAATTGGTGAGGGAAAATTCTGATAAAGTTATAGTAGTTCATCCCATGTGGGCTTATTTCAGAACAAGTCTAATGCTTCAGATTCTTCCTTTTTGACTTTGTACTCTGAGCTGTTACTGTAAGTGGAATATAAAACCTCTGTGCATTTTTTTCTGTATGAACCTGATAATGTGCACAACAAATCCACATCTTTGTTTTTTATTTTTTACCATAAGAATCAATGAAGAAAGATAATGTGAAAAAGGAAGGAATTTTAGAGGTAGGGGAAGATGAATGTCAGGCATTTGGTGACTAATGATAAACACGTTATTATACTTGAGAAGATTATCTTGACATATAAGCGAGGTAGGTCCTATCTTTGAAAAAGTGAATAGGAATATGATCCATTTCCTTGCTGATCATTAATAGGAATGGAGAGGATCCCAGGGAAGCTTGCCTGATAGGGGGCTCGAACCCAGTCCCAGTGATTCCAAGACCCTCGAACCTGCCTGGGATCCACTTACACCATGGAATTAGGACGAATTGATGTTCCAAGTCATTGGCTGAACTGGAGAAAACAACGTTTACAGGTTGAAATGCTACCTTATAAGTAGGAAGTGAGTGAAATAAAAGATCCCCCTGAGGATTTTGTACTGTGTCCTGTGGTGTACTGTGCCATTCTTCATAGAGAATTAAATAGGATGGGGTAACATGAGTAAAATTATAAAGGGTTTAGATCCAAGTCCTAAAATGTTCAGAATATCCTTGTATTTACTGACTTAATAAATGGGTACTTCCTTCTTCCTCTCTGCTCGTTAGGGAATCTATAGGCCATTTTAACAGTAATATCTATCTGAGATAGGTCTCAACTGGAATATCCAGACTTCTCACTCAGCCCTCTGTGTTGGTCCCTTGCTGTCTCAGCACATCTTACCACTTTCCTATTGCCGGTCCATGGACTTTCTGACCCTTGAACACAGCAAGTTCACTCCTACGTTAGACCCTTCACACTTGTTGACCCCTCAGATCCAAAACACCATCTATCACATTCTCTGGTAACTCGATACTTCCTCAATAGAGCCTTCCAGACTCCACCACTTATAGTATAGTCATGTGCCACTGAATGACAGGGATATGTTCTGAGAAATGTGTCCTTAGGCTCTTTGGTTGTGTCACCATCAGAGTGCATTTATACAAACCTAGATGGTCTACACTCCTATGCTAACTGGTACACCATTGTCCTGTATGGGGTCCATCACTGACCGTTGTTAAGCAGTGCATGACTAGTACCCATTCAAATCCCTATCGTTTCTGTTTTATTTATTTTTTTGATACAGATTTCCATTGATATTTGTTTCCTAGAACTGCTGTACAAATTACACAAAGTGAATGGCTAATAGACAACAAAAGAAGCTTGCTCTCAGTTCTAGAAGCCAGAGTGAAGTTGAGACTAGGGGAGAATCCCTCCTTGCTTTCTTCCTTTCTCTTCTCATCCTAAGATCCTTAACGTAGTTACAGCTGTGAAAACCATGCACCACTTAACAACAGGGACATATGTTCATATTAATAAGTAAGTTCATGTTCACAAGTTCCAGGTTAGGAGGTAGACATGTCTTGGGGACCACCATTCAGCCAACTATACCATTTGACAATATATTGTTTGTATATTGTTCATCTTCCCCGAACTAGAATTATGAGCTTTGACAAACCAATAGAGTCTACTCCATCTTATTCTAGGAATTTAGAACATGAGAGCCCAGCCTACAATAAGTATTTCAATTATGTGCTGAAGAATGAGAGGTGGTTAGCTTTAATCAGAGACTATACATCAGGGGAAGAAATTTTTCTGAAAAAAAAACAAACAAAACAAAACAGTGAACATGTGCTGAATGAGAAAATAAGTAATTTTGTCCAAGATTCCACAGTGATTAGATGGCAGGGACAAAATTCAAATCCAGATGTTCCTGTCTTCAAGGTCTCTGTAATGAGAAATACTGTAATGTCACAAAGCATTATTTATATGTTAAAAAGCATTAATTGCTAGGAGCCAAAATCTGTCCAAGCAAAGCATGAACACATTTTGTACCTCATGTCTCTTCTTGTAGGTGGTTAGCACTAAGTTTCACTGTTCCAATTCTCCAAATCTGGCATTGGTTTTCTTTATTTCTTTGCTCTCCCACAGTACATGATCACACAGTCAGGAAATGAAAATAGCTCCTCCTGCCTAGAAACAGGCTGACAACATTTTTTTTTAAAGCAAAATAAAAACCTGCCTTTAAAAAAAATTAGAAATTTTGTGTAACCTAATTACAAGCGTAACACTTTAAAAAGGTACTAACATTATTTTCCAAAAAAAGGAATATTGGTTGATTTATTAAATTATACATAGTAAGATATTAAATATAGTTTGAGTACTAAGTTTTTCCTTTCAAGTCAGTGCACATAAGAAGAAAACCCTCAAAGAAACCAGGGCTTCTGGGGCTGAATTTAACACTATTTAAGGAAAGGAAACCTTAGCTAGGGGACATAGCTGTTAACATGGTGATTTGTAAAGCCTTAGATTTCTAATAGAGTCTGACTGTTTCAAGGAAAACATATTTTGTTTCTAGGTAACATTTCAAGTCTGATTATGAACAAATGCTACAAAATCGATCTGCATTGAGAAATACTGTAATGTCACAAAGCATTATTTATCTGCCTAATGGGACTGAAAGCATTAATTGCTAGGAGCCAAAACCTGTCCAAGCAAAACATGAACACATTTTGTACCTCGTGTCTCTTAATGTAGGTTTTTGAATGAATTCGAGTGTAACGAAAATGTTGTTAGAAAATCAGCAAACACCTGTAGGTTCTCTTCACCCGCTTAGATTATCATAGCTGTTTCTTGTTAATAATGGCCCGAATCATACCTGCTCAGAAGTGCCCAGCAAACAGCAGACACGTGGTTACTTGTTAGCTCAGCTCTAAAACATCGTGAAGTAGTGAGAATGGCTGGCTGTGGCTTTTTAGTTTCTCTAGATTCATTTTGCCAGCTTTCTAATAAAATCTGGCTTCCCCCTAGTATGTGCACCTAGATGTAGCTCTCTCTGTAGTCTTAAAACTGTGTTTATAGTGTTAGAATTTCTCACTGAAAACTATTAAGTGCCATCATGCTCAATGCTGTGGCTCACACGGAAGTATTAAAAAACTGAGAAGTGGAAAGACTGTGTCATCAGTACTTAGAGTAATAAGATTTACATGAATTTGGCCCAGACCGGTTTGGCTCAGTGGATAGAGCGTCAGCCTGCGAACTCAAAGGTCTGAGGTTCCATTCCGATTGAGGGCATGTACCTTGGTCATGTACCTTGGTTGCAGGCACATCCTCAATGGGGGGTGTGCAGGAGGCAGCTGATCGATGTTTCTCATCAATGCTTGTAACTCTCTATCCCTCTTCTTTCCTCTCTGTAAAAAAAAAAAATCAATAAAATATATTTCAAAAAAAGATTTATATGAATTTGGAGATATATTCAGAGTCTATCAACACTCTTAATTCTGGGATCCAGGGTTGGGGATACCCACCATTCTATGAGCTGTAAATACCTCTAATTTTCCTCATCAAATAGAAAACAGTGTCTCATTCCTCATAGAAGCACAAGAAGTGAAATACTTTTCTTGTGAGAGCATTTGTTTTCTGAAAAATACAAATAGCTGTGCACCAGGCACCCTGCCAGGTACTCACATACATTTCTCATGTAACCTTCACAACAGGCCTGTGAAGTTGGTACTTGTAAGAAAGAGGGTAAGCTGGCTTGTGCTGTGGTAACAAATAACTCTACCATTTCAGTGGTTTAAAGTGGCAGAGGTTTAATTTCTGCTTTTGCAAAGTCTGCTGTGGTTCTGGGCAATTGTCCATGGGGCTCATCTGCGTGTCTCCACATCCACTCGTGTCCCCTGGAGAATCAAGTCAGGCAACCAAATGTAGTCAATCCTGAAAGGGACTTTGGCCCCCCCTTGCTCATTTACATTGGTCAAAGCAAGCCACATGGCTACCTCTAATTTCAAGGTAGCAGAAAATGCTATTGCTCAGAGGGGTAGGGTGAAAACCTTGGTGTAGCAAAAATGTTATTCCTGGTAAACAGTGATAACTGAACTATTTTCATCATTTTACAGGTAAGAGAACTATAAAGGGAAATAATGCCCAAAGTTAAAACAAACTCAAATTGGGTGACTATATAATTGATTGTCCGGACCACAATATCCTTGCCAGTGAAGGGGCATGTCGGGAGCCGAAAAAGAATTAGTGACTACATCTTAAAAGACACCTCCATCTTAGACACTGAGTTTCTGACTTACCAGAACTCATGTGACACGCTGCAGTGTGGCAGTTAACTAGAAACAATCTAAATGCCTAGCAGCATATCTGGCCATTGAGCAAGGCAGACCTGTTGTGATAACTCGCCCCACCTTGGAGAATCTCTGCTGTATCCTCCCCTGCAGACACATCCTGTTGATACACAACCCTCCCCACCCTGGAATGTCTCCACGGTAACTTCCCCCTACAACCTGTGTACATATATTGCGACTGCAACAAATAAAATTTGAAGCTTGATCAGAACCCTGTCTTTCCTCCATTTCTCCGTGTCTCCTGTCCTCCCTCATTCCCTTCAGGTGTCTCCTTGCTCCCACGTTGCTGTCTCGCTGGCCGAGGCAGGGGCACAGTCTCAATCAGTAACTCCCCAAATCCGGGGCAACCTGTCTTGCCCACCTTGGGATTCAGAGACCCACTCTGCACCTCTTCTGGCTAGGATCTCCCTCATGGGTTGAGGAGTGTGTGGGCCAAAAGGTTTTGCTCAATCAGAGCCAGGGCCATTGCCTCTAGGTCATACTCCAGGTCCCTGCAGCACCCAGAACTCCATGCCAAAATAACTCCAAACATCTTCCAGAGCCTCTGTGTGCATCTCCTAGGTGAATTTTCCAAAATGCCAACAAAGCCACAGATGTGCACACACTTAGGCCCAAAGGATCCCAGGGGCAGCTGATGGACATGCAGTTTGAACATGCAGTTTGGGGTGTTCACACACACACACACACACACACACACACACACACACACTCACACACCGAGCCCTTTGGCAGGAAGAAGTATGGTGGAGTGGCCCATAGACCTTTTCCCATTTTTACTCTAACCCTGGGACCCACGATATTAGGAATGAGCCTGCCATCACACTGGGACAAGCAGTCCTGTCCAGGGCAAACTGGAACCTGTGGTTCCCCTCTTTAGAAATGGCAGATCCAGGAGGATCCCACCCTCTTAATTACTCTACTATGTTGCCTCCAATTTAAGAACCTCTTAAATTGTGGTTGAAACCACTGCTAGTGTTACTATAATTTTAAAAATTCACGGCAGTGCATGTTGTCATTTGAAAACTCAGGACCACTAGGATGAGATGGAGAGCTGGTGGCATAGAAAGATGGATCCTATAGCCTGGCTGCATGCAAGTTCTACTTCTGCCTCCCTGAGGCTCTATGACCTTGACAGTTATCTTCCTGCAGAAGAGCCTGTTCTGACTGGAAATGGGGACACCTCTCAGAGTAGCTACAAAGATGAAGTGAGGTCATACCCATGCAAGAACTTTGAGAACCGAAACATGAGACACAAATTAAAGGAGTTCTCCCTGGTAATCTTTTTGTGCAGGTCAAATGCCAGAGGTCAGACAAATCAATACCGACAAACACTAGGCTGCTGGTTAATAGTCTTTCTGAGTCCTAGAATTATTGTGTGAAGTGATTTTAAAACCTCAAAATCGATCCATTACTAGGTGAAGTTGAATTGATTAAATGACAAGGAAATAGCATTTAGCACTGTTTTTATCTTGGAGACTGTATTCTAAGGCTGTTTAGTCGAGGTAGGATTTGGAACTGAATTTAGAAAAAGCAGATCAACAATCTCCGGGTGTTCATAGAACACTCAGGGATCCAACTGAAAAAGGTCATGTTTGCAGAGGAGGAAACTGGGGCCCAGAGCGATTAAACCTGCAGGTTTTCTTGTCACAGGACGGAGACAGAGGTGACTAGAACTCCTCTCCCAACTCCCGCTGTTCTCTTTAAAGCCCCAATGTTCTCATCTCATATGGTACCAGAGCCCCGTGGTATAGGCAACATGAGGATGACCTAAAGTAATGACTGTAAAGCACTGGGTGTAGTCAGCACTCAAGAAATAGTAACCCTTTATGATTATGACACCAAAGTAGGGTCCTCGTGTAGGGTCCTCGTGTGTTTCAGCAGCAAAGATTCCATTTAATTGTCCCTACTTTCAAACTTCAGTGCATGGCATAAGTGACTGAAGGAGGTTTTCGATTTATCAGAAAATTGTCAAAGGTGTGCTTGCTGTTTTAAATACATAAAAGAAAGGGGTGCGTGTGTGTGTGTGTGTGTGTGTGTGTGTGTGTGTGTGTGTGTTTTAAGTTCACATTATTTAAAAAAAAGAATTCATGTATTAACTATAAAAAGCTGAGGACATTAACGGATCCTATCAGATGAGTGATCACAAACCACCGGAAGTGTGGCCCCTGTTGCTCAGATGTTGGAGATTACGATGCACGTAGAGAGGACCCTGAGGTGGACTTCTGAGTCCAAGGGACTCATGAGCTGAATGTCTTCAGGCCAGTTGACTTCCACTCTGCAGACCTCTTTTCCCTCTCCTGAAAAGGGAGGTAAGAGCAGTCCCTGCCTCGTTGGGTGGCTGTGAGCATTTAGTTCTGGGCCTGCTGCAAGGAGAGGTTTCATCAGTGGAGTGAGATGACTGTTATAAAAATTTTTAAGAAATGGATTTTCAGGGTACAAGATATATGCTAAGGAATGAAAAGAAATCATTTAGAGAATAATCTCAACTTTATTCTTTGACAGGCACAATTCCACGTACAGGCACTTCACACGGGAGCCAGCCTCCTCAGCCTCAGGAGGCCCCTCCTGAATTCTTCTGGGAGGTCTGTGGGCTTGCTGGTGGCTGGATTCACAAAAACGTGGACCGAGGACCCAGTAGTACAGGCCAAAGTGTCAAACTGCGCCAGCTTGGGGTGGCCAAAGAAAAAGCCGTCATTGAGGTCACGGTGGTCTGCTGTGGGCGGCTCCTGGGCAGGCTTGGGTGGAAACAGAGCAAGGCGGTAATGCACACTGGAGTGGCCCACTTTCTCCACGGCCAGAGCAGCCACCGGGACCTGAGGGAAGCTGACTGGAGCGTGGAAGGTGCACTGATTGGTCACCATGAACCCCACCAAGGGGGACGTCAGCAAGCGGGTTTTCAGGCCGCAGTACCTAGAAGGTTCATCATAATGGTTATTCCAGGTCAGCAGGGCGCGCTCTCCCAGCCCAGGAACAGTGTGTTTCAGCAGCACCCACTTCAAAGAGCCCGGAATCAAATCCCAGCTCCGCCACGCACCAGCTGAGTTACCTTGGGCAAGTTACCCAACTTCCTATTTCCTCAATTCCACAACAATATGATGTCCATACTGTGGGACTGCCTCAGAGACTGTGAGAATTAAATGATGAATATAATTCAGTACAACATTTAATATAGAAATAGTTCCTAGACATAACACGTTCTTACAAACATTGGTTGTGATTAATATTATTATGTCTATCTCGCCCTTGCTTCTTATCATGAAAAGCCAAGTACTTTTGTGTTAAATGAGAGAAAAAGCCAGATACTTTTATGTTCAATGAGAGGGAAAAAATATTCATTTATTAGAGATAATTGTCTCTTACCTTTAATATTATATGTAAAATACTTTTAAGGACAGGTACCAGGTATTGTTTATTTATTTTATAAACATATATATATATATTATTGATTTTTTACAGAAAGAAAGGGAGAGGGATAGAGAGTTAGAAATATCGATGAGAGAGAAACATGGATCAGCCGCTTCTTGCAAACCCCCCACTGGGTATGTACCCACAACCAAAGTACATACCCTTGATGGGAATCAAACTGGGACCATTTAGTCCACAAGCTGACGCTCCATCAACTGAGCCAAACAGGTTAGGGCTCTTGTTTATTTCTTAAGTTTGTTGACTAGACATGAGGTTGCACTTGAGATCAATTTGGAGGTTGAACAGAATCGAAGATGAAAAGTGTAAGGCTGAGTTACAGCTTCTCCTCTCCTCCTCGCCAAAGAAGCACTTATGATTTAAACATTTTAATCACGTTGTCTTTTTTTTTCTTGATAAAATTAAGACTGGATGTGAGAATTCACTGTAAGGGAACAATCATGTAAAGGTTTGACTTTGGAGCTGTTCACTGAGTCACTGTTCACAGCAAGGAGACAAACACAAGCTTGTCTCTGCCCACTGAGAGCACCAAACGTGCCTGAGGCCAGCCCTCCGGGTGTCCACTGAGGTCACCCATTATGACATTAGATGCGCTCATTTACTGACACGGAAAGCTGTTGAGTGAAAAGGATCGGGTTATAGAACAGTATGCGCCATTCGATCTCACTGGTTTTATAAGAACATGTTTGTTTATGTACTCATTGTCCAGAAAAAACTTTGAAAGGATAGATTCCAAAATGGTTTCTGTTATCTAGCAGTGGAGTTTGGAATAACTTTTGTCTTCATTTTGCTCATGAATTTTCTAACGTGTGATTTGCCTAAGAAACAAGAAGAGAAGTGTTATTTTTAAAACTGTCTGAATATGGATTTCATTTTTAAAAATATTTTTATTGATTTCAGAGAAGAAGGGAGAGAAAGTTAGAAACATCAATGATGAGAGAGAATCATTGATTGGCTGCCTCCTGCACAACCCCCACTGGGGATTGAGCCCACAACCAGAGCATGAGCCCTGACCTGGAATCAAACAACAACCTTCCGGTTCATAGGTCAACACTCAACCACTGAGCCTCACCGGCCCAGCTGAATTTCATTTTTTAAAGAGCTTTGGAGAAATGAGCTGGCTGATAAACCCAGATCCTTCCTTCTTGTGCCCACAAGGATCTTGCTCTGGCCGCCTTCCCGAGGGCTTTCCTCAGGAACACCTGAAGAGGGTAAAGTGAAGCAGGAAAAGAAGAGCCTTGCCCTCCAGGGTAACTCCAAGATCCAGCGGGAACCAAATACCTCCTTATTTGTTTCCCATGTTTCTTTGTGGCTTCGCTTTCTTATTTCTCTGCCACTTTCCTCATTCTTTTAGGGCACGGACAGGAAAGAAATAGCACCTCTTCCCAGCAAAAGAGCAGAATTTCATGAGCTCCTTATGCCCCTGAGCCTGGCCAGGACACCTGTAAATAATTAAAATGCAGAGGCACTTTTAAACAATGCCATCGTGGATGAGTGCCTGGCGGCCAGGGCTCTGCTGGGTGCATTACATTTTGTATCTAGTTTTCAAAACAGTCCTTGCAAAGCAGGTCTTGTCTTTCCCATTTTCCAGGAGAGAAAGGAAGTGGAGAAGCCGAACAAGTTTCCCAAAGGCACGCACGAGATACGTGGTGGGTCAGGCCCAAACTTCAGGCTCTCCGTGGCCAGCGTTTAAATCGTGTCCTCCATTCTCACTTACAGATGGTGAAGCCAAAATCTACATTTTAGTCCAGTGGGTGAACTGCATCTTCTCTAAGTGTCTTTGTGACTTTAAACATTACATCTTCTTTAAATGTTGCATGACAGCTTCACTACATTAGGACAAGAGAGACTTTCTGGTTGTAAGTTCACAACCTGATCTGATTTGGCTGGTGGTAACAGCAGGGTAACTTAGTGAGAATTTTGGTTCTTGTCTCATCTTTACAGGAGTTTTAATTTTTCAAGCATTTATGTATGTGCACATGTTCTAAAAGTCAAGTGGTTGCTCAAAGCTTATGGCAAAAACAGTAGTTAGTTCTCTAGCTGGTTAACTCTTTGGCCAAGAAGTTCTTAGAATGATTCCATTCATTCAACAACCTCCACTGCACATCTGCTCTTTGTAAGTTAGTGAGGTTAGATCATTAAGAGAGAAATTGTGCCCTCAGGACTTCTCAATTTTAGGGGTGGAGGGTGGGATGGGATCAGCTCTTGTCCTCCCTTCAGCAAAGGAAGGCACTCATCATGTTCCTTTCTAGTTCCCTTTCCACTCTTTGTTTCTTCTTCCTTTCTTCCTCTCCTTAACATCCATTTATTGTGTACCTACTAAGTTACAAGGATGTGCAAGGCCTGGAAGAGAAAACAATAAGCAAGCTAGACAGTGACAGTAGCTGTCCTCAGGTAGCCCGGGTCTAAAGGGGTACAACCACCATGCTGTACCATGAAGGCCTAATTTGATCTAAGGTATCAGGGAAAACCGGAGGAAGTGACAGCTGAGCTGAGACCTGAAGAATATGTAAGAACACTCCATCCTAGTGAACAGTAGGGGCAAGAAGAGTATTTTAGGTGTAAGAACAGCATATGTGAAGGCCCAGAGGCCAGAGCCAGTAGGGTACTTCCTAGAGATAATGAAAGTCCTAAATGGCTGGAACACAGTCTGCCAGAGAATGCTGCAAAAGAGGCAGATCCATTAAACTCCCCAACTCCAGATTCAGTGCCAGCTCAGCCATGAAGACCAATAAATCTCTGGGGCATTCAAGGCTCAAATTAAGATCAGATGCTTATAATCCCACCCTGGTTTGTACCCAACACCAGCAGCTGAGTTCACTCTTACCTATTAATCCCCTCTCCCATGCTCCCGCCTTCTTTCCTGCTGCTATACCAGTAATTAGGTTCTGGCTTGACCACTGTCCTGCCTTAACCCCGATCCTGAGGCCCTGCCTGGGTGCCTCCCTGGGCTCTGGTGCCTCTGTGGCAGGAGGCAGTGTGCACATGCAGGACCTGGTGCCTCTGGGTCTGTGTGAGGACCCAGCCCTGCTGCCTCCCGAGGTCTGGAGAGAAGCCTCAGTCAGAAGGTAGGACAGTGGCCGTGTGGCACAGAGACAGCTTTCAGAGGCCTGAAACTATTTCTGTCATTCTGTGTAAACATCATAGAATGAGCCATAGCCTGTGGTCAGTCACCTCGAATACCAGGGCAGGATGTGAGATGGAGCAAGTATCTATATAAGCCTTTACCCCATGCTATGTTTATCTGCCTTACCACTTGGTATTTCTAAACTCTTAGAACAAGTTGCTATCTGCAAATATAAGAAGCTAGTATAATGAACTGACAACAGCCACCTTAGGAAAACGCCCAGACGCAGCTGGCTACTCATCGATGCTGTTGCGAGTTTCCAAGTGCATGCATTGGGTCCCCAAACTGAGCAACACTAAAGAACAGCATCTGCTGTCAGAGCAGACGCTTTCTTTTGTCACAGTGTTCTTGCCACAGGTTTATTCTGGTAAATCAGTGTGAAAATGACAAGAATATCCAACATGTCTCAAGAGGCACAATTTGTAAAAGCAAAAATCTCCTAATCCATGTTCAGGGTCTGATGAAGAATTCAAGACCGAAAAATTAAGGATGTAAAATAAATTCATTGAAACATTTTGACTAAAAATAAGACGACCGTGACATTATGCTCAATTAACAGGAAAACAGTCTTAAAGGGTAAATGTGGTAGATGACGATCTGTTTTATAGGACATCCAAGGCAGAATCCATCATTAAGTGAGACTAGATTTGAGAGGAACTTGCACAACGATATCACAACTGTTGTGCCTTTTGCCTCTGCTGGAGTTGCTCTCTGAGCAAGAGATTTCAAAGAAAGCATCTCTGAAAGTGACTATTAGGCCTTTCAAGCCCTCAAAATTAATCAGGCCAGGGTTACTCAGAGATGGAAGGTGGGGTGGAGCAAGAGGGAGGGATTACAAAAGGGGCATCAGGAAACTTTGCAGTAAGGGAGGTGGAGTGTGAGGTTCATTTATCTTGATTACAGTGATGGTTTCACAAGTGTGCGTGCAAGTGTGCCCAAACTCATCAAATTGTGCACTTGAAAACATGCCCAGCTTATTTTATGTCAGTTATACTTTCAAGAAATCTGTTTACAAAGAATGCAATGGAGAGAAATTCACCAATATCTTAGCAATAGTATATCAATACATTAACAACACCAGTCCTGACTATAGGCTGGTTAATGATACTCTTCTTTATCCTTTTCTGAATTTTCCAAAAATTTTTGAGCATATCAAAAATCATAACTATTTCTGAGGGGAAAAAAGGAATTAGATGTACAAAGAAATTTGGAGAAAATAGTCTATGCTTAATGAGCCTGAAGAATATGGGGTGAAAAAAAAACAACAACCAAAGACAAGACACTTTTCAAATGATAAAAGATCCTCTATTC